TCTTCAGCCTGCATGAAAAAGTCCAAGTGACTGATAATATTTAAAAAATAACAAGTATAGAATAGTTTCTCAGTGACCTTGGTGTTTCTTTTTAGCTGATGCTGGTTTGAGTGACGCTCGTTACTCCTCCCCGTCTCTAATGACAAAGTGAAACTGAATAACGGTCGGTTAAAATCGTTGCTTGAAGCATGGAATACACCTCATCAACACGCAACACTATAATGGAGCAGGCGGAGGGAGACTAGGGGTCTTAGCACACCTCTGTTGTTGCTTGGCGTCCTGGGGCTGGAGGCTAGGAGGGAGATCTGGCCGTCTGGTTGGGGTTTGGGGTGGTGGGTTGCTGTGCTCGGCGTTGGGCGGGGGAGCCTGCTCATAAGCACCCCAGCAGAAAGGGTCAAACTCTGGTAACCGGTGATGGTTGTACCCAATGTGCAGCAGTACCGGGACCAGAGTGAATAGGGTGTGTATGGGGAGCATGAGAGGGTGTCCGGCGTGCATTTTTCTAAGTCTTTGGTTGTATGTGCATGTGTGAGCATGAGGGAGGGAGTGTGTGACTGTGTTTGTGTATGACTGTATATGTCAGGTGGGGCCTTTGACTCCTCCCTTCTCCTGGGACTTCTTTTGATGATATAGATCTTCGTCTCCCCTCCCCCTGCCACACCTGGTGTGGGGTGTGGTGCCTTGGTCTGCCTGAGTGTTCATGGCTCCCGGGACAGGGGGTTTAAGATTTTTGGCATCTGCCTGATCAATCCCGGTGGCGGCCTGGTGAGGTCTGGGTCCCTGGGCTCTGCTGGGTCCCCGGCGGGGGTTGTCGCCCCTGGGTCTCGGGTCGCTGGGTCCCGGGCTTGGCCGGCTAGGGCAGGGGTCGGCAACCCATGGCTCTGGAGCCGCATGCGGCTCTTCCATCCATCTGATGCGGCTCTCTGTGCTTGTAAAATAATGAATGGATGTTTAAATAAAAAGCTTTATATTTTACTGCATTGATTTTACATCTGTAAGCTAATTCTAAATGTAAAGACTGTCTGCGTAAACCTGAACACTACCAATCCGGTCTTACTGTGAGACCGGGTTGACGCGTCACGCTTGTGCGTAATCATAGGCGCTTTCTGAGCTGAAGAGGATGTAAGATTCTGGGATTCTCCTCAGACGGCTCCTGGATGCGTCGCCACATTGGAGACAGGAACAAGCGCTATTCAGCCAAAGTTTCATGATAAGGGAACATTTTCTAAGTGACAAGTCTCTCTGAGAGACAGGGTTTGGAAAACGCTCGCTTCAGTCGGAGGAATCTTCCCGCATGCGCTCTGGTTCTGCAACGCGCTCCAAGCCCCTCTCCACATCTTCAGCTCGCTGTGGACCTTATGTAAACGCTTATAATGAGCTGCGCTGAGCAGTGTCCAGCTCAGATGTTCAGATGGGAATCTTTTCTTGAGTGATTTAGCTACATCTGCGATGTGCGTAGAATAAAATGTCAGTTTGTCTGCATGCGTCGGGGTAATTCTTTCTATTCTTTCTCCATCAAAATAAACGGTCAAATACAGGAACCGTCCGGTCAACACAGCACAAGCCCTACTTTTAACTGTTCTGTTTTCTTGTGAAAATTGTTGCAAAGAGATATAATTTAACTTGATTACCCCCAGAGCCAGGCGCACTGCACCGTTGTCTCCGTCGCTGTAAACGAGGGAAAAACAAATTGATCGGATCCTTTTCTGACCTTCCCCACCTACAAAGTTTAATAACAACAATCAAACGTGACAGAGCCTGGATTTGTATTCTGAACAGTCTAAACATGTTTTAAAAAGAAACGTATGACAAAAGTGGCACCTGCTCAGTAAAACCACCAACAGGGTGAAAAATATCAAAATATTGTCGGCAGAGACGGGCTACAACTTCTGGATCCACTTTATATAAATCGTTTTATTGATTATCTTTTTATGAAAGATAACTTTGATGTACACAAGCGACCGGTACTGGCTGCTGTCACCTGTTGTGAGCTGCTGTCTTAGGGTAGGCCCCGCCCACAACGCCGCGGCTGCTGTGGCTCCCAGTGTTTTCTTTACTGTGGGAAACGGGTAATAATGGCTCTTTGATGGGAACAGGTTGCCGACCCCTGGGCTAGGGGGTGGGAGGCTGCGGGCGGGCCTGTGGGCTTGCCGCTGATGTCTCCCGGGACTCTGCCGGCTGCTGGTTGTGGCCCCCTGGGGTGATCCTCTGTGCCTCTCGAGGGGGGCGGGGGCCTTTCTGGTTGAAGTCTCCTTGGGGTTCCTGTGTTTTGGGGCAGTGCCTGGATCTCTGGGACTTGGAGCTCCCCTTCGTCTCCTACACATCTTTGGGGGGCAGATCTGTGGCCTCTCACACGCTCTATTGGACGCTCCTATAGAGAAACCTTACATAAACAAGCGCGTGTACACACACAGGTGCTCACATGGTGCTCTCAAAAGTATGGGCTTGGGCACGTTCAACACATGTCTCAAGGCTGTCGTTGCCACTAAATGCACTATAATTTACTATCGCGTGATTGTTCAGTTAAACAATGTTGATTTTATATTTCATCATCAGCCTGACGCAGTGATAGCTTGCTCCTGATGTCTTGTTGTGTGTCCCACTTTTTTCTGCTCTTTCTTTCTGCAGGTCTAGAAGCAGACTCTTGTTCATTAGTGTTTATTTTTGTGGACACCCCCCACCCCCCCTCTCTCCCCACCTTTTGTCTTTTCCTTTCTCTTTCACCTCTGTCTCCGTGTCTGGTCAGAGTTACAAAGCATGCAACAACTATAACAATAAAGTTTTAAGTATCAGGCGTGACATTAAAATCAAACGCTTTGATGCTCCACCTGAGAGTAAATCTGTAAGGCTTGTTACCAGCATTCAGACATCAATTCTGCTTGCTTCACAGCCAGACAGGACACGGTAAAAAAAAAAAAAAAGAAATTGTTGCTTGAAGCAATAAACAAATAGGTTAGGCAGCAGAGTTCACATAGCTAATTTTGTAGGTACGTTATTGCTGCCCATAATCTAGCCACATGAAAACAAATTACTTGAAAAAAAAAAGCAAGATGCATATAAACCAATGAGGGAGGAGGGGCAGTCTAGACTAGAGGGGTAATTAAAAACAAACACAAGAATGAAACTGTTTACTGGTTCTTTGAGTAAATTCCTCAGTGAAAGCTCCAGGGGGACACATCTTTGTCCGTGCTTTATCTGCACAGAACATAATCTCCATAAACAGGGTTAATGGTGCTGCTGCTTTAACATGACCCACCGGCAGGGCTGGCAAATGGGAGAAAAGGTTCTAAACATAATCTGGTGATTAGTTTATAACTTGACCTTTCTTCAAAAATTGCAGGAAGATAAATTCCATAATTTCTCAAACTTCAAGTTAAAAGTTTTGTGGTACATAGTTACTTAAACACAGGTCAGCTAGTATCCAAACAGTGCTTCACTGTGGCATTCAAAGCAACCGTTATGATCCAATGCTGCTTCAAGGTTACGTACCATTTTATCCAGATAAACGCAGGAGCCTGAATGAGCCAGAATCATCAGATACAGAAGTTATTCAACCATTAATCAGATGGACTTTGCTCAAGTCGGCTATTATCGTTGCCATAACAAAACACGTTCATCCATTTTCAGTCAGACTTTGGTGTCAGGAATCACATGCTTCTATCAGGCATTGGAAAAGTTCCCTCATTGTGACATCACAATCAGGAAATTTAGTATGAATTCCCCCCTCACCTGTTTGTGCTTAGGGAGGCTTCTGATCTGTAGACGGAGCACTTCTACTTCAAGTGCCTCCAGGATATCTGAGCTCCTCATAACAACCCTTCAGAGAATAGCACCAGCTTATTTGCATTCAAGTAACAGAGCTCTGAGATGGCTCGTTCTGCAAAGCACTGAAACTGAAGGTACTGATCTAGCTGTGTGGCAGTAGCTTATGAGTCCATCAGCAGGACAGTGAGAGAAATATGTGTGGAAGCTGACCTGATGTCAAGAGAAGCTGCAAAGAAACCACTTATCTTCAAGAAAACCATCAAGGACAGACTACTATTCTGCTAAAGAATCAGAGATTGGACTGCTGGGGACTGGAAGAAAGCCTTTTCCTCAGATGGGAGGAGGGCATGGACGGACTCACAGTTTATTCTCAGAGCAGCCATGAATAAAGAATGGTACCTAAACATCCTCCCAGAGGAACACCTCTAACCTTGGTGATGAGCAATGTCTTCTCCAGCATAACAGAGCACCAGGCCAGAAGGATGCACGTGTTGGCTCTAGCTTCAGGAGACTTCCCAGACCTTAACAATGAGCTTGTGGTCCATCCTCCAGAGGCAAGAGGACAAACCCAACCCAACAAATTCCAACAATCTTTAAACCCTGATGATGAAGACCATCTGTCGGCACCTGGACCAGAAGATGATCGACAGACTGTCAGCGTGAACTACAGAGGTCAAAAACAAGATGGACCAATTCTGCAAACAGTTAATGCAATTAATGATTTCATATAATTGTTAACCACCATTCAGTAACCACAGAAACAGCCGGTAAAAAAGCACTGAAGCGTCAAAGTTTGCAGGAAGTTAAGCTTTTGATCACAGCTCTACTCTGTGCTTTGTGTCTTTTTATAATGCCTTTATTAGTGCCATTATTGTGGTACTTAACTTTAGACAGAGCAGTTAGCAGGCCAACTTTAGTATTCTTGTAGGAGCGCTTGTTTTGATTGTCAGAGTTTAGCAGATTTTACCTGATTACAACAAACGAAAAGAGAAGAAAGGATTTTCTTCTGGAGTTTTAACCCCATCTGAAAAGGTTATTTAAAGCACATTATTAAAGCTATGAACAGAAATAAAATGAATACCAAAGCTAAAGCTAACACGTAGCTTCAAAGGCAGTCAGTTGTTTTAAAGGTCAGTTTTCCTGTCTTTGACTTCAAATCGTGTGTGTGTGTGTGTGTGTGTGTGTGTGTGTGTGGGCCTGTTAGTGCAGTCACATTTGCAAGTCTGAGGTCATACCTGCATTCGTGAACTCTCCACAAGTCAACACAGGTAAAGGGGGGGTTACACTGGTTTCTTTTGCAGGAGTCTGACGAGCACCCAGCAGAGAGTCCCTGCATGCTGACCTGGGAAACCCCATCCCTTGGCTGACTGTCCAGAGGCATATAACGACCATTGAGGCGTGCGTCCCTCATGCAGCCTGCAGGAAGAAATAAAAAGCAGGATCCAGTGAAACAATACACTGTTGTAGACGTCCATCTCCACAGAGACCCATTTAAAGACTGGTGTACCTTAAAACCTCTTTGGATTGTAGAAATGAAGGTGCTTCGGCAGAAAAGTGGGTGTTGTCATGTTGTTCCTCAGTGAATTAAAACAAATGCCAAACAGTTCTCATATAAATGTTGAACAATGCACGACTTGATCAGTTAGCAGTGACTGAAACCTGGGCATGGGCTGTGGCAGCAGCTGGCACTGCACAGCTGCCATACGGGCAAATTCAGGGGCTGCAGCAGTACAGGTGGGAGGACCTGGGCTAGGGGTTGGGTTTAGTGTTAGGGAGGCTGCAGCCCTGTCTTTTGACAAGGTTTGGAAGAGGTGCTTCATGGGATGGGGGTGTGTGTGGTTTTATAGTTCCCCAGAAAGGTGACCTCATTTACATAGCTGGACCAGAACATGGTAGTGAGACCATTGCACCGTTTCTGGTCACATCCTATGTCCTATGTTTGGTTGCTCAATATTGACAACATTTTGGGGCGATTTCACCCACCTGCTATGATTTGCCTAGACCCATGGGTCTACTACATGAATCATGGCACAAACAGGTAATGTCGAAGCACGCAGGCCCAACAGTACACCAGCAGCACTCACTTGATGAACTTAAACTGGATCATTTGACTTTTGAATTACTCACGGTTCTTCTTTTTACACTTATTGTCCAAAACACTGTTTATCCAACAGTTATTCAGAATTATAAAGTCAGAAAAGTCTATAGAGCTATGGCGGAGCAGTCAGTAACACTGCTGCCATGCAGCAAGAACATCTGAATCCCGGCTGTGGCCTTTCTACGGTTCTACCATGACCTGGATGACAGAACCTTTACCTGCAGTAGCAGGTCCTCCTCTTGCATGTGTGGAGTGTCTCTCAAACCAAACACATGCATCTTAGATTCACTTTAAGTCACTTTGGATAAAGTCTTCTGAAAAATGCAGAAACATGTGAACACAATGCATTGTGGGTATCTTAGGTCTTTAAACTCAAAGGTTGATAGTCTCAAAACAACATGATTCTGAGTGTCCTGATTTGAAATTTCAAATAAAGTTTTTTTTCCTCTCAGCGGTTCTGATGCGTCACCTCGAGGATGTTTTTAACGCTGTCAGTTCTGTTGTTTAGGTGTTTCAGTAATACAAGTGCTACTAAATCTACTACTGCTCTTCATGGCTCCTCTTTAAAAACAGGAGATGTGAACGTGCAGGGAGCCTAGTCAGTGTTTTAAATGTGTGCTTTGAAGACACGTATGATGTTAACACTCCTCATGTGTTTCACCGATACACCAGAGATTGGCCTCCTAAGGTACCTGTCCTGAATGCAGTTCCAGTTCTAAACACCAGTGGAGCTATTAGCCAGACAGGAAGTTCCCATGTGAAATATTGTGTAAAGGTGTTGGACTAATACGTGGCCCCTAAATAAGTATTAGGGGTGTTTCCTTTACAAGAACTTCAGGGTAAAAATGCAGCGAGGGGGAAAGTGACCGGCCCTCTTAGCCTCCCTGCCTCCATTTACAGCTTGGCCCTGTAAGGAGCGTGCTGAGACGCCAGCACATCCCAACCACTGTGGTGTGAGTTACGGCACCGATTGGTGAAGAATGCGCCAACAATCCGCGTTTTCCTAAATGCTGGTTCTCCACCCAATAAGCATCTCCTACTTCCTACAATGACTCAGTTACAACCAATCGGCCCACCAACTGCCCCGGGCCTTTTACCGGGCAACTCCGAGTACCTTCTGAACAGGAACTCCTGAAACGGCCCGGAAAACAGCCGTTCCGCCGGCCTGGTCAAGAGGAGCCAAGCGCATATCGGGAGATTTCGGTGAGTTTAATTTGAAGTTCTGGTGATGGAAACAGCTATTGTGGCCCCATATCCCATCCTCACTGCTAAAACAGGTCGGATCTTTCATTAGCTGTTTTTACAGGAACATAGCGTTTGCAAAACGGGATTTGCCGCAGCTCCGTGGCGGTAAAGTGGCGCAATCGTGGCATTTTTATAAAAGATTAGGTGATGGCGGCCTAAAGGGGGTATGGGGACGGTCTCTGCGCTGCAGCAGACTTTGGTTTATCTTGGACATAACCGCTTCCGGTCGGTATCAAGATGGCGCCTCTGCTTGGCTTAGCCGCAGTCACCGGCCACTTTTTCAAACTTTTCTCCACTAACCTCCTTTTTTCCACCTTGCTCCTGTCTGTGATCCTCTTCAGTAGTGTCCCTGCTACCATCTCCTATGATCGCCAGACTCTTTTGTCCTTCCGTTCGTTCACGATAGCCCAAGATGCACCGAGGACATACCTCCCTGTTTGTTTACCTGATCGGCGTGCTGGCCTAGAGCCAAATGATTCCTACCAGGATGCCTCCAGCGATGTTTATCCGGTCCCGGGAAAACGTAGGAGGAAAAGAGGTAAACGAGCAGGAATCCAGGTGAGAATATGACTTCTCTTAAATTGTGGTTTATCTGGTAAACATCGGCGTGATCTTCTAGCTTCTTGTCCTTTGTCTGGCGACTTGAGCGCCACTTCCGCATTCCCGCCAGGCCGCGTTGCAGCGCGGTTTCTCCGGCCACGTTTTTTAAGGTCGGTTTATCCTCATTCCTCAGTGGTTTCTCCTCCTGTTCCCTCCATAAGTGGTTTTTATAAACACCGTGGATCTAACCCTGCTAATTTACGTCCACTAACTCCAGCTGTTTCTGTAGTTTCTGATTCCTCCACCTCACTCAGCATGGCTCTATTAAATTCCCGCTCTGTTAACAATAAGACCTTCCTGCTCAATGATCCAATTCTCTCTAAAAACCTGGATTTTCTGTTTCTGACTGAAGTTTGGCAGCAAACATCTGATTATTCTGCTCTGATTGAACTCTGCCCGGGTGGTTATTCTTTTCTTAGCCAGCCCCGGGGTTCTGGTCGTGGTGGAGGCCTAGCTGTTGTTTTCAGAGACCATCTTCCATGTAGCTCTACAACCTCTGGTCACTTTGCTTCCTTTGAACTGCAGCTGATTAAAGTCGGGCGTAAGGACACGTTCTACTGTGCTGTGGTCTATCGTCCACCTGGTCCAAACAGTTCTTTCCTTCAGGAGTTTAGTGACTTTCTATCCTCCACTGTGAAGCTGTCCAGACTGGCGATTGTTGGTGACTTTAACATCCACGTTGATGATCCCTCTGATCACTTTGCCATGAATTTCTCCAGCCTTATGGACTCCTTCAGCTTTACCCAGCATGTTTCTGACCCCACACACACCAGGGGGCACACTCTAGACCTTGTTTTTACCCTGAGTCTAAATGCTGACAGTGTTTGTCCTGAGGACGTTTATATTTCAGATCACCATTGCATTTTCTTTAACTTGTCAGTTTCTGCGTCCCCACCTCCTGCTCACCGTCTGGTTAGTTCTCGTTTTCTTAATGAGAGCACAGCTAGCAATTTTTCTGCTGCTTTTGATCCACCCTGTTCTTCTGATAACGACACAGATTCCTTAATTTCTCAGTTTAACGAGCACTGCCTCTCCATTCTGGACATCATCTGTCCTGTCAGAACCAGATCAGTTCCTGCAGTGAACCCTACTCCCTGGTTTACCGACAGCCTTCGCAGCCTGAAGCGCCAATGCAGAGAAATTGAGCGCTTGTGGAAGAAAACCCATCTCCACGTCCATCTGCTGCACCTAAAGGATCTTCTGACATCCTTTAACTCTGCAGTCAGAGACGCTAGGGTTTCCTATTTTTCCAACCTGGTGTCCCAGAGCAAAGCGAACCCCAAGGTGCTGTTTAACACCATCAGCAGCACCGTGTCTCCTGCCTCTCCTACAGCCTCCATCCACTCTGTTGCAGACTGTGAGAACTTTCTGTCTTTCTTTGTGGACAAAGTCAATAAGGTTAGATCTAGCATCTCTCCTTCAGCCTTATCGCTGCCTCTCCCGAATCCAACCAGGCCCATCATCCTAGATAGCTTTGCTCCTGTTTCTTTGCCTGAGTTAACCAAACTAGTTAACTCTATGAAGACCTCTGCACACCCCCTCCACATCTTACCCTCATTTTTGTTTAAAAGTGCTTTTCAGTCCATCGGTCCCAGCGTGCTCTCCATTATTAATGCTTCTCTGGTCTCTGGTCAGGTCCCTGCTTACTTTAAGAATGCTGTAATCCACCCGCTTCTTAAAAACCGAGTCTCGACCCCTCTCTCCATAGCAGCTTCAGACCCATCTCTAAACTTCCGTTCATCTCCAAGATCTTGGAAAAGGTTGTGGCTAAACAACTCACAGCTGCTCTTGATGAACATAACATCTATGATAGCTTCCAGTCAGGTTTCCGTAGAGCTCATTCTACTGAAACAGCTCTTCTTAGGGTCTCTAATGACCTTCTGACTCACAGTGATGCATGGGACTGTTCTGTTCTGGTCCTGCTGAACCTGACTGCAGCCTTTGACACTGTTGACCATCACCTGCTACTGGAAAGGCTGAGAGACTGGGTAGGCCTATCAGGATCTGCTCTGGAGCAGTTCTCGTCTTGTCTTTCTGAGCGCTCTTTTTCTGTGGCCGTCTCCAAGTTTAGGTCCTCCACCACCTCTCTTACCCATGGTGTCCCACAAGGTTCTGTGCTGGGGCCTCTGCTCTTCCTCCTCTATCTGCTTCCTCTTCAGCACATCCTAAGCTCCTTCAAAGGAATCTCCTACCATATTTATGCAGATGACATCCAACTGTACATCTCCTTTAAGCCCCATGAGATGTCTAAGCTGCAGCTGTTACACACCTGCTTAGACTCTATCAAAACCTGGATGGTGGGAGCTTTCTACAGCTGAATGAAGATAAGACTGAGATCCTCATCTGTGCCCCAGACAAGCTGGTTCCCAAAGTCAGAGACTCTCTTGGTCAGCTTGCTTCTAAACCAAACCTTCTGTCAGGAATCTTGGCGTGACCTTTGACCCAGCTCTCACCCTGGATTCTCATGTCAGTT